TGATATTGTCCAAAATCCTTTAACAGTTTTTGAGTTCTTTGGATCAAAAATAATACCAACTCCCTTCCCACCCGAGTAAATAATTATATGCTGATCTGAATACTTGTTCCCTGCTCCCGGCCATCGCATTTCACTAATTCATAATATGTTGACGTTCATTCTCTTCATTTCCATCTTGATGTTATACAGCTTTCCATTTTGTACGAGTGTTCTGACATTCCATGTACCAATCATAATGTTTCTACCTTTTACTTTTTCTACAGTAGCTGGATGACGGTCGGGTATCACCCGTAGAACATGATGCTCCCTACCGGACGAGGTGATTCCGTCGTAATCCCCATTCACGTCGTTATCTGAATTCGTATTATTATGAGGCATGATTAACTAGGGATAGTACAGCGGTGGTTTCCCCTTGCCTTTCGCAGGTTTGTGTATGGTTTGACTCCAATAGCCTTTGTCTAAAGAGACTTACCCTGCAAGGCAGCAGGGGGGAGAGGTTATGGCGCCTCTTACCCGCTGATGGCCATGTCGTAGAGTTTTGAGGTATTTTATAGAGTTAGCTGTTCCACCAACTAACTCGCCTCCTCTCAATGACCATGACCTGTTTTGGTCCACGGCCACTTATTCAATATATTCGTGGCTAACCTCTATACCTAGAGGCCTTTCCACCATCCGCCACCTGGTGGACGCGCCTAGTAGTAGGGCAGGCTCCTACCCCAGGCTTCTTCATTGTCTCCTATCCTCTTCAACATTTGAACAGTCGAGATCACAGAAGAAGAACTAAGTGGCAGAGGAAGAACTCTATAATATGCGGATGACATCCATGTGTACCGACAGTGCAGGAACAGAGATGACATTGTTTCGGATTTACAACAAGAATTATATCGCATATCATCCTGGTGCAACACCTCAGGGGCAACAATTCATCCACCAAAAGCGACAGTTACCTGGTTCTCATGAAATAATCACCTTTCCAAAACATCAATGCTGATTGTCCAACTCTGTAGCGCTGACGTGGAGAGATCTGATTCCATGAGTTGAGTTGAGTTGAGTCAAGAATTGATATCACAGCACTCGGGGCATTCCCATTCATGCTCCCTCCTCATCTTCAGCAGCCAGCGCAGAGTTCCAGTACTGATGGTGCCGGTCACAATCTGGTTAAAAGTCCGTCTTGCCTTTCCCCTGAGTGTAGTGAGACAGCCAGACCCTCTGGTTACAGCCAGGTGCCTCATTCTCTCCAGGCCATAATGATTCCATGAAATACCTTAGTATAACATTTGACAGATGCTTAGCATTTAAAATACACGTAGTATGGCGTTTTCTAAACAACAGGATTGTTAGAGCCGATGTCCCAAGTCTCATGATAGATAATAGAAATGTCAACAAAGAGAGCAACCTGAAGTATCTGGGAATCACATCTGACAGGAGCCTGTCCTTCAATGACTATGTGGAGACAAGTTGTACCAAGTTGCCAGAAGGGACTGAATGTAGTCGAGAAACGGCTGCAATGGAATAGAGAAAATGCTTTTCACACAATATCAGCACTTGATCCTCTCAGTGATTCGTTATGGACTAGGATAGCTCAATGTCTCAAAGAATCAGCTGGTTAAACTAGACCGCATACAGAACGCAAATATACGGATCATTCCGGGATGTACCAGTGCATTTGCTCAATTTAACCTGCTACCCTCTTCCTGCGAGTTTCGCTGTCTGGTAGTACAATAATCCTTAGCGCCGTCGAACGGAAACATGGAGAACAACTAAGGCAATAACTAATACAAACTACAAACATTTATTGACTGATGCCTGCGCAGAACAGAGGGAAATAAATGGTATGAAAGAATCACTAGTGTAGAGCAGAACTATTTAGGCACTTCAGTAGTGTGAACACGATACATCCTTCGTTTGCCGATCGTTGCAGGTGGGCTAAATTTGCTGCAGGCGAAGTCATACCTCAGAGTAGCAGCAGACACAGATCACCCTTTACACGAAATGCTGAATGCAGTTAGGGATCTGCAACTTATAACAAGGAAGTCATGGAGTGCTCAAGCGGAGGACACGATCAAACAGGTTTGCATCCTGGAGAACTTAAGACGAGGAGGGGGTGAGAGTGCCAGCGGAACAGTGTGTAGAATCAAAATCACATTGAGCCAGGAGTGCATGGAGTGGCCAGCAGCTGCCTCAACGGTGGATATTAAGCAGTCAAATCAGGTTAATGCTCGCTCGGGTGATATGATTTTTTATACAGGTGGTTCTTAGCAAAAGCCAGTGGTCAACGTTTGGTGCAGGAGAACCTAGCATACGATACCACAAAATCTAGTTTAAAAAATGAATTGGTTGTCACTGCAGTTTTCCACTCGCTAGAGAACACGACACACACACACATCATGGTTGTAACTTATTCAGAAAGCATGCCAAGGGAGAAATTGAAACTCTGCGCTGGCTGCTGATGATGAGGGTCAGAGCGCTTATGAGAAATCTTTGAGTGCTGTGATATCGGTTCTTGAATCAACTCGACTAAGGACGGCGCACAAATGGCTTGGACCGAAGTGCTAGGTTGACAGTACCGACAAGTTAAGTAACCTTCAACTTGACCTGGAGAAAATTGTGACCAGACAATAGAGAAACTGAAGGCTTTCAGGCTTTTTTTTTTTTTTAAAAGATACATACATTAAATACCTGTTTATTTTACTCAACGTAACATCAGCGTGGTCAACAAAAAACGACATTACCAACAACAAACGACATTACCAACAACAAACGTGTTCGACCAGAGTCTAAAGCGATCATCATCTGCAGCTAACAATGAAATATTATGACAACATACGCTCAGCGAGATTACCTCAAACATGGCAAAAACCGAAACATATTCAACATGTACGTTAACTTTCAATATGCCAACAAATCACGGCTCTCCTATCACCTCGGCCGGTAGACAACAGTAGACGGCCGGTTAGTCGGAGTTCTGCCCCTTGGCTACAGTGCAATTACGGAGTGGAAAAGGAGGGAACGAAACAATTGACACAATTACTGTGTGCTGGCGATAGACAGTGTGCACTGCCCTGCTATATTCATACGGTTACGGTTTGGGTTAGGGTTAGAGTTAGGGTTTTGGTTAGGTTTAGGGTTAGGGTTAGTGTTAGGGTGTGGGTTAGCGTTACGGTTAGTGTCGCCGCATCTCGTCTTTGCAGAAACTCAACATAGCAACCCAAACCCTAACCCTAAACCTAACCCTAAACCTACCCCTAACCCAAACCCTAACCATATGATGACAGTAGGGCACTGCACGCTGTCTATCGCCAACACACAGTAATTATGTCACTTTTTTCCGTCCCTCTAATTCACTCCGTAATGCGTCGCAAGAAGCGGTAATTGAACGCGGTCGTTAATTTGAGTCGCAGCGCGGGTTCTGCCAGGCATGTCGACCTCACTTTGTTTTTTGATTCGTGCCTTCTCCAGTCCGTAATTGCACTGCAGCCAAGGGACATAACTCCAACTAACCAGCCGTCTACTGTTGTCTACCGGCCGTAGTTTACAGGAGAGCCAGAAACGTACCCTTATCATGAACACGAACCAATCTAGCGTCACCCAGTCAGTCCGATCTAACACACCTGTGCGTCGAGACCAAGTCCAGTCAACAACAGCAGACAGGACGTTTTGACCATACCGACTGACCAGAGCGAACGACAGAATAGAAGAAAGCCAAATATTTAGTGTCCCTCGTTTTATACTCAGTGGGCAGATTTTTCCAGATTATACTTTCTAAAGCTAATAGCTGTCTTGGTTATTTTTAAACCAGACTAAACCCAGATCTTCAGGCTGCTGAACTGCAATCTTTTGTCATTTTCCAGCCTATTACAGTATTGTTGCAAGATACCAGGCGCGACTGAGTAACTGCAGGAGTGACCAGAAAAGATAAAATCAGAAATGGGATACAAAGAGAAAAATTTGGCACAGGAGCAATCCAAATAACATACCAAGATCAAATGGTTTGCCCACTTGGAGAAAATACCTTTGACGACATACCATACAAGGCATACATTAAGAGAGGAGAGAGACGTAGAGCATAAGATAGTTGGTCAAAGTGTCTGAATCATCATCATCATCATCATCATCATCATCATCATCATCATAAACCACTTCTGCCGTTAAGCGTCGTGGGGAGGGATAATTTGCAGTAACAGTCAAAATCAAGTTCAACAGATGATTCACCCTAATTCCCGCACAGGGGATACGATCATTTATACCGATGGCTCTATTTTGGAAGTCAGGAGAAGGGCATGGGGTTCATAGCAAAAGCGAAAGCACAATAAAATCTTGTACATAATACCAAAATTCTCTACCCTGAGAATGGAGGTGGAGACAGCCACAATAGTCTCCTGATGGCCTGAGAACCAACTGTAAGTGTCTGTCATAATTGTAACTCACAAAGCAAACCGAAGTGGAGACTACTGCAGAGTGGCAAGCATTGCTTCTGAGGTCCCAGATGGTTAGCGTCATCTGAATATTTGTCTCCAGGAATGCAGCTGTGTCGGCAGATAGACTGGTCGGTTCTGCACTCTTAGGTGGCGAAATGATGCATGGCAAACTAGATGTTGTAGGGGTGCTTTGGGAGCGCGTTAAACACTGTGGAGATACAAATAGATCATGTGGTTTGAGGAGAATCGTGATGCGAGGAGTGACCAGTGGATCTGATCGAGGCTCAAAACTGAAGGAAAAGGCGACACTGATATACAGACTGTTAATGGCGCCACTGGAATTGGAACTCTGCGCTAGCAAGTAAGTAGTATTGTCCCGAGTGCTGTGATGTCAATTTCCTAATTCAACATTTAGTTTACCGAATGCGGGTTTTTCCGATTTAGCTAATAGTGCAAAGCACCGTTTGAATTAATAGTGAATGAAAATGACGTTTTAATATTCTAAACAGAGTATAGAGTAGACATAAGTCTAATGTCCTCATTAACTAAAAGCAAATTTTTTTTACAAGATTATTGTGATCTATGCTTCCTGTATTATTTTTTGCGTTTTGTTACCCATACCTTACCAAATGCACCGCCTCGATAAATCCCACCAGATTACACGATGTTGCCAGTGGTAAGCAAACATTAGTTCTAACTAGTCAACATTCAGAGCTGAACTTCCAAAACGGTGAGAAACGTGCTTGTGCTATTTTGAATCCTCGACATTCAAAGGAATCAGCAGTGTATCATATCGATCTTCGAGAAAGATATCCCATAATTCTAATTAACATGACTATTTATAATGCAGTTCACATTACAGGTGGAGTCAAAGTGATAGTAGATGACCGCCTTTGTGCAGTGCCAAATTTTACAAACGGTACAAATGAGATTAAATGTTCCAGTTACATAACAGGCCGAGTTTTCACCATGAAGGCATGCGTGCCAGTAACCGTGTGTAAAGTTCAGATTTTCACTTGCAAGGCAGGAAAAAGAGGATCTGACTGTAACGAGACATGTGTAGCGGGTACCTACGGGGTTGGCTGCCGACCTTGTAACTGCCGAAGCAACGTCTCATGCAGTAAATCAGATGGCTTCTGTTCGTCAGGCTGCCTTGGTGCAAACTATGACAAAAACTACGACTGCTACTATACATCCATTTCGAGAAAAGAAGATGGTCATTTTGCCAGTCTATCAGAAGCATATTTTAGAGGTATTACATTCATACCCCTGATTAGCCGAAATGAAATTATTCTGCGAAGAAGAGATTATTTTGATGATGAAGAACAAAACTGTACCATTTTTGAATCCGACGAAAACAAGAGAGTTGACGTTGAGTTATCGTATCAGCCATCCATTGTTGTCAGACAAGTACAAATTACATACTGTAGCCTTGACATTTCTCCGCCTTATTCCATACGTATTACTGTGAATGGGCATTCGTGTTTCGGCCAGACAGTATACGAGAAATTACAGCTGGGCACTCATACATTCACATGTCAGAGGAAAATTGCTGCTGGGAGTACTCTCATTATTAGTCACACAAGTCACGATGTGAATTCAAACTCTACAGTAGCGGTCGGGTGCAGTAAAATTGTGGTACTCGCATGTGCAAAGGGATTTTACGGATCTACATGTAGACTTCCTTGCCATTGTTTAGGATCTGCCTGCGATCCTGTGACTGGCTATTGCAAGTCAGGTCTGTGTGGAATCTTTGCCAGAGGTCGCAACTGTGCATCAGTTAATATTGCCTTTCTGCGACCTGTTTCTGTACGTGCCAGCATGGGACATGTAAGTTTGAAACTTTTTTATTTTTCTATCTTTCCCTGTTCCCTATCCCCATATACCCCCCCCCCCCTTTTTTTTCTTTTTTTAAAGAAGAAAAAAAGTTTTCTTTAAAAAAAAATGAAAGAAAAGGAGGCAAAGGTTAAAATAAAAATACGAGAAAATAAATATGCAACGAGAACAGAGATATCGAAATGAGGCTAAAGTGTCAGTTAATATTTTTGTTTTTTGAAGTCCAGCCCAACCAGTGAACAGTATACTAATCTGGATATGTAGACTGTGCTAGTGATGTTTACTTCACTCCCACGTTAATACAAGGGCCCTGAGATTTATCTCTGAGAGTGATAAGGTTAAATTTTCCACCAGCAACACTTTTTCGTTAACAGTCTCACAAAATTAGCACTTTAAAAATAGGAAAATCAAGGTTGTCAATGTAATATTGGTCTGTTTAGTGTTGTTATGTCTTCTTTTCACAGAATAACAGGGCTAGGACTAACTGGGAGCCTTCTTCGAAGTCGGAGTACAACTGCCTGAGAGGCAAGTAGCAAAAGACAAGAAACTACGTATAACTCCTCTTTGTGATGCTTTCCAGCATAAGCAGTAGGATAAAAGAAGAAGAAAAAAGAAGATATAGCAATATGTGCTTCTTGTCAGCCGAGATGTTTTTAAAGGTTAGGTAATAACGGGTTAGGGTAACATTTACAAACTAAAATGCGAAAGTGCTGCCGTTGGAGCTGTAGGATGCTCCCATCAGATATTTGTCAGAGTTTTCTAATCCTGAAGTGAGGAGTTGACGGAAATTTCATCTTTTCAGATTTCAGTATTGCTTCATTTTATCATTCGTCACATCAGATGTGGACATACATACTCAGGGATTCGTGCTTAGCATCATTCAAGTCTCAAACTGGCAGTTCACTTTGTATCTTTCATATCTCTCCGACGGTGTCCTTCTTTTACAATGTTTTTTTCCTTACTAATGCGTTGCTAAGCTAAGGGGTCGGTAAGGATTATGTTCTCCTTCTTCAGCCCTACCACGAAATGGTCGATCATTGACACTTTCTAGTATCCATTAAAATAAAATAAGTGTGTTTTCAGTTTTTTATATTTGTTTCGCAAATTTTCATTAACATCTATTTCAGACTATGACGGGTAGCACCCTGACATCAAAGAAAACATATCTTGTAAATTTCAGTTAAATCGGTTTAATTACATATCTGGCACTATTAATCAACGCCGTTCCCCTGTTGCATGCAATTTTTAGTTATATTGAAGTCCCACCCTGGCTCATGCCAGAGGCCTTATTCGGATTCATAGACAACAAAAATTAAAGCTTGATCCTCTTTTAGCCACCCGAAGGCCTACTATTTTAAGGGTAGGTTCATTTGCCAAATGAGCTAGTTTTCTGATTCTGTGTAGCGATCCATTTCGCCTGAGTTTGGTTATTTGCTGGAACGTGTCTGACGTGGTCTGGCTTGGCGGTTTTTGATATGGCTGTTTTTCTGCCGTGTGAGAGGGTAGTCTTCTAGTTCTGAAAAGGACAAACAGTTTGCCATGTGTGGCCTGAAATGGAATGGGTCTCCTGTGGGTCTTTCGGCATAGGGAGTTTCTGCTGGCTGTAGCGTTTGTTGTTGTGGCGGTGGCGTTTTGATATTTGTTTTTGCTGGCCAGTATTCTTTACCTGTTGCGTGCCTTCACTGGCGCAAGTGTTGGTGGGCGTCCTTCAGTGCGTCAAAAAGTTTCATTCTGATGTCCGCTCTGGCAAAGCGTTTGTCCTGCTCTTATAGGCTTAGTGGTTTTGTTGGTGAGTAGTTTTCTGCGTAAATTATTTGCTAGCCGTCTTTCTCCACCCACACAGTTGTATTGGGATACGTCAATTCGTCCAGTCGTCGGAATAACTCTTGAACGTGGGCTTCAGCTTCACTGACTTCGTAATCTGCTGTTGTTTCTAGTCTTTCTGATTCTTAGCTATTCTGGTACATGGCTGTGGTTTTATTGCTTTGGTCAGTGGTTCTGGCAAGTCCCGTTTATGAGTAATGACTTTCATTTCGGTAGCTGTACATTTGTCGGCCTTACAAATGCTTGGTTTCTCAGCTGGTTTTCTGCTTCTTTCTGTTTGTAGAGATTCTTTTTTCTCTCTTAGCTGCTAATGTTGCGGCGTCTGCCTCTATTTAAGTACCAGCAGGGCGACCTCTTTGTACGCAGACTCTCGGGCTTCTCTCAGCTCTGTCATATCCTTGTTTCTCTCTTCTCGTTTTGCTTGTCGGCGAACCACTTCGTCCTGGGCTGACTTAAGGTGAGACAGTAGAACTTGGAGCTTTTGGGTTGCTTCTGTAACTTCTGCTAGCAATCTGGTTTACTGTGCCATTTCTGCTAGCCTATCTCCCTTCTGGGCTTTTATTTCATCTAACGTTTTGGAGATCAGGCATAGCGTCTTGGTTCTGTCCGCAGCGGCATTAGCTCTGTTGACTTTCATCTTCTGTAATGCTCTTAGTTCTCAGCTTGTTGATTTTTTTAGATGTTTTTAGTTCTTTTTGGAGGTGTACGCCTTATCGGAATTCCATTCTGTTGTCAGTTTAGCATGCTGTCCCCTTGTCCGTCTGATGTCTTCTTGATGTCTGAGTGGCCTGGGCGTCTCGTATCTCTTATTCGCCATCAGGTGAGGGGTGTCGCTGATGATGGCAACTGTCAGCGTTCTCCTGTACTTTTTGAGGTACGGGCAGCCCAGATACCTAGCTCTGTGAGCTCCAGAACAACTGCTGCATTTTCGCTTGGCATTAGGCTTCTTGAAATCGTTATCATATCTTGCCAGCAGGCACCTCTTGAAGTTGTGGCGTTTCGAGCAGTAACGGCTCGATGGGCTGCTGCAGAAGGTCGCGGTGATCTGCCCCGCCCTATTACAGCGTGAGCGCTGCATGGTTTATGGGGTTTAGGATTCAGGCTGCTGCTGCTTCTTGTGAAAACGGGTGCTTTTGGCTCTCGGTGCTTTGAATGGGGTGGCTTTTGTGGTTGGCAGTGTCTGAACCGGCGATGGCGCCTTGACAGGGGCTTTGTCTGTGATTGGCAGCGTATGAATCGGTGTATCTAGCGTCTCGACACGGACGGCTTCAATAGGGGCTTGCACCATTACTGGGGCGGCTTCTGGTGACGACATCGTCTGCTCAGCTGGGGTTGGTGCCTACATCGGGACGGCTTTCTTTGATGCTGATGTCGACAGGGTGGGTGTGGCTACGATTCTGTCTGTGCTGACTGGTTTGTTTACGGCTACATGCCATACTAATAAAAACTGGCGGTGTTGTTCGGATAATTTGCATATCACAACCTTAAAGAGCCCGAAATCCTAACAAGGACAATCGAGTTATTGAGTTGTAATATCGTGATGACTTTTAGTTAAGGCTGAAAATGCGGGCTAATGATTGCCAAACGAGCGCCGACCAAGATAACAAGTCTAGACCGTATCATTCGACAACGCAAGCGATTAAAAGTCAATTGATTTGATTTGATTTGATTCAAGAACCGACATCACAGCACCCGGGGCATTCCCATAAGCGCTCCGTCTCCATCTTCAGCAGCCAGCGAAGAGTTCCGATACTAATGGTGCCAGTAGCTTTCTGATTAAATGTCCGTCTTGCCTTTCCTCTGAGCCTTGAGCTTCTGCCAGAACCTCTCGTCACCCCCAACTGCACCAATCTCACCAAACTGTGGTGATCCATCTGCTCCTCCGCATTGTACTCGCTCTCCCACAAGGCACTAACCACGTCTGCCCTATCATGTAGCAGTATTCCACCAAGTTGTGCAGAGCCAGCCAGTCTGTCCGCCTGTTCATTTCCCAACACACCGGCGTGACCCGGTGAAAAAATCCAGACAATACTCCTCACTCGTGTCCTCCGTAGCAAAGCATGTCACTCTGCACGAAGCATGCCTGTTCTGATCTTCCTCAGCATGCTTTCTGAATCAGTTACAATTACAATGTGTGTGTGTGTCGTGTTCTCTAGCCAGCGGAAAGCTGCAGTGACCACCTCCACCTCCATTCTTAAGCTGGATGTTGTGGTATCATATGCTAGGCTCTGTTGCACCAAACGTCGACCATTAACTTTTGCTAAAAAGCCCCAAGCACTTCTTCTGCCTCTTGACACTGAACCGTCTGTGTAAATGATCAAATCCTCTGAGCGAGCATTATCTTGAATTAATTGCTGAATTTCCACCTCTGTGGCACCTGCTGGCCAGTCTCTGCATTCCCGGCTCAGCGTGATTATGACTCTACACAAGTCTGACTGCTCAGGTGGAACTTTGACCCACTTCTCTCCTCGCCTAATGTTCTCAAGGATGCAAATCTGTCTGATTGTGTCTTCTGCCTGAGCCATCCATGACCTCCCTCTTATCAGCCGCTGACCCTTAACTGCACCCAGAGCTTCATGCAGAGGGTGGTCTGTGGCTGCAGCTACCCTGAGATATGACTTCGCCTGCATCACCTTGTGCCTACCCGCAACTGTCGGCAAACCAAGGATGTATCGCATACACACCACTGGGGTGTCTATGGTGCAACCCAGAATGACCCGCAAAGCCGCGTTCTGTATGCGCTCTAGTTTGTCCATCTGACTCTTTGAGACGGTAAGCAGTCCCAGGCCATAATCCACCACTGACAGGATCAGGTGCTGATATAGTGTGAAAAGCATTTTCTGCTCTATGTCAATTGCAGCCATAGTCTTAAGTGCACTAAGTCCTTTTTGGCATCTCGTCACAACACTCTCCGCATGGTCTTTAAATGACAGGCTCCTGTCAAATGTAATTCCCAGATACTTCAGTTTGCTTTCTCTCTGTTGACGTCTCTACCATCTATCGTGAGACTTGGGACATTAGTTTTAACGATTCTGTTGTCCAGAGAACACCACAAAACAGACGCCTTTTCCGGGTGGACGACAGCCTTCATTTCTGTACATCACTCAGTCACTTTGTCTGCTGTCGCTTGTAGCTCCCGGGCTGTTTGCTCCCTCTCTTCCCCCTGCCTA